TTAACCTTCTGTTGCACTGAAACTTGATCTACAAATGAAATTCAAACTTGATCTAAGAGAGTCCCAATAGAGCAGTACATATTTTTTGGATTTTTCTACTGTTTTTTGTTTGTGGTTTTTGAATTATATTTGTTTTTGAATTTCAGACTTCAGATCTGTCAATACTTTGGGGGGTGAATTTTAGGCCTCTAACTTGTGAATCAAGGCAAATGAATGCCTATTTATAGGTGAACTTAGGTCCAATTTCAGATTTTTCCCTTTACCCCTTAGTCCCTATTCTAATTTCAGTGTTTACCCTTTATTTTCTGACTTGTTACACAAGCAACTAACTTAAGTTTATTAGAACCTACACTATGGTCCCCCCTAGAAGGTTCTATGCCTATTACAATCCCTATTCTACCCTTACCCCTTTTCAAAAATTACCAAATCTGCTGAAAGTACCCTTTTCCTATGCCTAAACTACCCTTCGAACCTTCTGAACTTACTAGCCTACATTAACTACACTAAACTTTCTAATTGACCCTGGTCCAAATAACTATTTCTGCAAATTAACCAACCACCAATCCAATCGCGAATCCTAAATTCAAATAACTACTGATTTTTGGATTAACAACTACTAATAACAAATCAGAGTAAAACAGTGCTCACATAGTATTGATTAAAACTGTAAGCAAGCAAATTCGACACACACAGCTAATAGAACAACTTATTCATGAAACCTGGAGAAGATTTAAGCAACTCAAAAACCTAAACTAAATCCTAAGCATGATTAATCCTAATCCTAAAGAACTCAGTCATAACTAAATTGACAAACGACCCAATTCTTATTATTGATTAAAAGACAATGAAGAATAACAAATAAGAGACAGGCTAATCTATTTGACCACTGGTTCAATCGAAAAATGAGGAGAAATAAACTCAAACCCTAAATTGATTGCTCAAGAGGAAGTATCAGTCAAGAGGAAAAGACTAACGAAGGAGAACGAGGAAAACTTAATTAGCTTGAGCACTTGACTGACTATGGGGTGAACTCCGACCGGTCATTTGTTTGAATCCTCCGGGATTCTTGACGCGTAACATCCCTAATCGTGTGTTTTCCAAAAGAACACACATGATTAGGGAAGTTATGGTCGAAAATCCCCAAGATTTTCTTATAGGGTTCTGCCGGATTTTGATCGGATATTTGGGCAATTCTGGCCATATTTGAGACACGTGGCTATGGGGGTTGGATAGAGGAGGTCAAGGCGGTCCCATGGTGTTAATTTGGGACCGTTTGGCATAACCGGCGACTTGGCCGGAAAACTTCGAACGGATATTTGACGAGTTCTGGTAAGATTTGGGGGCAACGGACAGTGGATTCAGGTAAAGGAAGGGAAGGGGAATCTGGGGTGTAATTTTGGTGGTCATCGGAGCATCGCTTTCCGGCCGGCGACGGACGACGGAGGGATGGTGGCAGATGGTGGGGCTAGGGCGGAGGAGGGTGGTGGTAACGCTGGCGTTACAGGGGAGGTACGAGGAAGATGAAACAATGTTTTAGATTTTAGGTTAATTTTTGGACAGTTTTATGGGATGGTTTGGGTCCATGAGGGCCGTAGGATCATGGGGAATGGACGGGCAGGATTGAGTGACGCCAAAACGGCGTCGTTTTGCCATGGGGGGGAACTGGACCGGATTGATGATTTGGGCTGGTCTGGCAAAGACTTGGGGCATTGGGCTGGGATTAATTTGACAGTGGCCCAATCTTGGTGGCCTGATTAAGCTCAAGTCAATTTTATTTTATTTCTTTTGATTTTTGTTCATTTATATATTCTTTTGAAATTTGTTAAATGCAAAATTAAAAGTAAAAACCCCAAATTAATTCCAAGATGACACTAATTCCTAATTCAAAAGTAAAATAAGACAAATTAAAAGTATAAATGCAAAAGAACAATTTTTGTTATTTTCTTCTTTACTAATTAATTCTAAAATGTGAAATTAGAACCTAAAACAAATGCGGAATGTATTTTTTATATTTTCCATATGAATTAAAATGCACAAATAAAAATGCAACAATTACCAAAGAACGCCACAAAATTCGCAAGAATTTATAAAATACTAGAAAAATTGTTTTTTGTTTGAAATTTTGGGAATTACTGCTTAGGGCAAAAATCACCTGCTCACAGCTGCCCCTCTTTGTGCGGAAACACGAAGAGTTTTCGTGCAAAGACAAGTGAGCCGAAATGAACGATTTTTGCCCGGTTGCATATTCCGTGTGAAGCAGTTTTTGAAAAAGCCTGACCGCACCCTGCTTCAGAGGTTGCCTACATATCCTGGGCTAAACAGGAATCAGGTCAGTGTAGTTCGGGAAGGTTTGGTAGCTGGGACTACCAGGAGCTGTGATTTCACTGCTGTTGTTGCTGCTACTGCTCGCTGACCTCCTTATTACACCGTGTCAAAACAAAAAGAAGCTAGTCTAAGCTATGAGTTACAAAAGGTCCTATCTATGCCTTCTAACTTGCTCTTTGTGTTGCTTTGAACTTGTATCTTTCTACTGGAATTCTTGCATTGTTGCCTTGCATTGTGATTGTAGATGTTTCACCATTCCTCTGGGTGATGTTTGACTGCTGCAATTTGCAATATGTGCCTCTATTCTTCAGGTGGGCGCCTGACTGCTAAAACTTGAGATGTATTCTCTTGTTCTTCAGGTGGGCGCCTGATTGTTAAAACTTGAAATGTATTCCCTTGTTCTCCAGGTGGGCGCCTGATTGCTAAAACTTGAAAAATGTATTCCCTTGTNTGATTAAAACTGTAAGCAAGCAAATTCGACACACACAGCTAATAGAACAACTTATTCATGAAACCTGGAGAAGATTTAAGCAACTCAAAAACCTAAACTAAATCCTAAGCATGATTAATCCTAATCCTAAAGAACTCAGTCATAACTAAATTGACAAACGACCCAATTCTTATTATTGATTAAAAGACAATGAAGAATAACAAATAAGAAACAGGCTAATCTATTTGACCACTAGTTCAATCGAAAAATGAGGAGAAATAAACTCAAACCCTAAATTGATTGCTCAAGAGGAAGTATCAGTCAAGAGGAAAAGACTAACGAAGGAGAACGAGGAAAACTTACTTAGCTTGAGCACTTGACTGACTATGGGGTGAACTCCGACCGGTCATTTGTTTGAATCCTCCGGGATTCTTGACGCGTAACATCCCTAATCGTGTGTTTTCCAAAAGAACACACATGATTAGGGAAGTTATGGTCGAAAATCCCCAAGATTTTCTTATTTAGGGTTCTGCCGGATTTTGATCGGATATTTGGGCAATTCTGGCCATATTTGAGACACGTGGCTATGGGGGTTGGATAGAGGAGGTCAAGGCGGTCCCATGGTGTTAATTTGGGACCGTTTGGCATAACCGGCGACTTGGCCGGAAAACTTCGAACGGATATTTGACGAGTTCTGGTAAGATTTGGGGGCAACGGACAGTGGATTCAGGTAAAGGAAGGGAAGGGGAATCTGGGGTGTAATTTTGGTGGTCATCGGAGCATCGCCGCCGCCGCCGACGATTTCCGGCCGGCGGCGGACGGCGGAGGGACGGTGGCAGATGGTGGGGCTAGGGCGGAGGAGGGTGGTGGTAACGCCGGCGTTACAGGGGAGGTACGAGGAAGATGAAACAATGTTTTAGATTTTAGGTTAATTTTTGGACAGTTTTATGGGATGGTTTGGGTCCATGAGGGCCGTAGGATCATGGGGAATGGACGGGCAGGATTGAGTGACGCCAAAACGGCGTCGTTTTGCCATGGGGGGGGGGGGGGGGGAGGGAACTGGACCGGATTGATGATTTGGGCTGGTCTGGCAAAGACTTGGGGCATTGGGCTGGGATTAATTTGACAGTGGCCCAATCTTGGTGGCCTGATTAAGCTCAAGTCAATTTTATTTTATTTCTTTTGATTTTTGTTCATTTATATATTCTTTTGAAATTTGTTAAATGCAAAATTAAAAGTAAAAACCCCAAATTAATTCCAAGATGACACTAATTCCTAATTCAAAAGTAAAATAAGACAAATTAAAAGTATAAATGCAAAAGAACAATTTTTGTTATTTTCTTCTTTACTAATTAATTCTAAAATGTGAAATTAGAACCTAAAACAAATGCGGAATGTATTTTTTATATTTTCCATATGAATTAAAATGCACAAATAAAAATGCAACAATTACCAAAGAACGCCACAAAATTCGCAAGAATTTATAAAATACTAGAAAAATTGTTTTTTGTTTGAAATTTTGGGAATTACTGCTTAGGGCAAAAATCACCTGCTCACATTGGGGAAGTGATACTTAGCTCGAAGAATTTTAGCCCAGAGATAATTGGGATTGCATGATATCGCAAAGCTAAGCTAGACAAGTGAGCAATTATTTTTCCTTTTCTTCTAATTATAGGAGTTCTCTTTTTATAGAGTTCTACGAGAAAAAATTTATTTCTTTAATAATAAGATTAAGTCAGACCAGCAAGTCATGAATAATAGGAAATTAAAAATGTACCTAGCTTTAAGCTCTCGCATGTGACTTTTTGTCTTATGACGTGGCATGATAATTGATGGAGTGTTTTTTCCTTTCTCCTGCTTCCACCTCGTCTCTTGTATGCTCCTCAATTCATCTTACATAATATTCTCGACCATCAAGAAAAGTGACTATCTATCGTTTTATACACAATATCTTAAACGGCAAAAAAGATCTTACTCATTCAAAATACTCCTTGATGGTTTTTTATGTAAGACTCTCGCAGTCCAAGAGAACTGATATATTCAATCCTGAATACTCTAAATTCTTTTAACGTAACATTCTCGGCCTCTCAAAAGAATTAATTATCTATTTTTTTATATGTAATAATTTTATACGGTAAAGAAATCTTTCCCAAAATGATCCATGTCAAATGAGAAATTAAAAAAGATCCATCAAACGTATTTTTTCTCAGCAACAGGGGAACAAAGATCACAAAAAAACCCTTCACAAATTTCATCATTTGAGACAGGAAAACCACGGCTTGAAACAAAGAAGATCAACAGTATGAAATTGAAGGAAACCACATATAAAAAGGGGCAAAGAGGCGCAAAACCTTAGAAACATTTCAAAACTCACGAACTCCCAAACAACAAAGGTAGTTGCATGTTTGACATGAGTCAAAGAGTCGAAGTTCCACATAAGTCAGTCACTTTCCTCTCTCTCTATGTTCTTTTTGTCTTTCCCCGCAACCACCACTGATCGTATTCTGAAACAGAAGCAAACAGTGATGGAGAAATCAAGAATGTGAGGAAAGTATGTGTCAGAAACCCAACTGACCCACTTAGAGAGAACCTTCGATTTCTCCGAGAGAGAGACCAAACACTTTTAGCACTGTTTCTTCTTCCGACAACCATGAATCCTAGCAAAGTTGAAGCAGAAGATCTATTCCACCATCACTTGGACCCGCAACATCACCAAATCTTGGATCAATCTCAGCCGTCTATTCTTCACCAGGACGATGAAGAACCGTTCTTTTCTGATATCGGTTTTTTCCGCGACGAAGATGACGACGCTGCTAGTCATAGTTCCTCCGACCCCGATCAACATCAGCTAATTCAGTCGTCGCTACCTCAATTGGAACATCAAAACGGTATCATTTCTGAAAACCCTAACCCTAACCCTAATTTAGGTTTGGGAAAGTCCGGCGATAAAAATAAGGCGGAGAAACGCCACCGGCATACGGCGGGTGCATCGGCGGCGGCGTATATAAGCCCGGAACCCCACATTTCATCTCAATTCTACACATTTAACAAGGAATCGCATGCCTTGATGATACGCTGCCTCCTTGAGGGTCGCGTCGCCACGCCGGAGGAAATCCGATCTGTCACGCCGGCGTCGGTGCTCCAGAGCTGGCGCCTGGTGTGGAAGGACCGGAATGAGGACACGGCGTACCTTACGGCCTGGAAGCGGATACAGGACAAGCTCGTCGTGAGTATCGACCCCGTGAATGGTAATGAATTACTGTGTTTCAAGAATAATTCGAGTCAATTTGTTTCCCATGTTGATCAATGGCATGATATAGTCACAAGCTTTCACCGTGACGCTGATTTAAAACACTTAGGTCTCAAAGACACTATAGAAAAAATCAAGCAGGTTTGGACTGTAGGTGCTAAATTTTATGGCATACCTGAGAGTTATATTAGGGTCTGTGTTGAGGTGTGCCCCGTGTGCTCTGAGTCTGCGCCACGTACTAAGAGGCGTAGGTTCGAGTATACTGAATCATTCGATGTACCAGCAAAGGAAGTGCCAGTTAGATTACAGCAATTAGCTGCCAAGTATAAAGTGGTGTTGTGTATTAGACAGAAATATATAAGGTATAAGCCATTTATGGCTGAGGTTAAAGATTACGCGTGTCATCGAGCAGGAGAGCCTGCATCCTCGAAGAAATCGAGGATTTTAAAGAGGGAGCCTTACGCGTCAAAAAGGTGTGGGTGTGGGTTTCGTATCAGGGCGATAGTTCCAATATCGAATTATAATGAGAAGGATAAGACATTTGTCTATCAGGAGGAAGGGACAGCAGTCTTTAAGTTGTATGCGGTGCACTCGGGGCATGAACCTGGCCCTTTGGATGGGAATGCGAGGATAATGCATCGAGTTGTTGGGCATAAAGGAGGGTTCTTGATGGATCAGGAAACAGTGTATGGGATGGGTGATGAAGCAGAAAATGAAGACTTTGGGTTCCTTGGGAAGGATGGTGGAGATCTGCAACATTCGATTTTGCAGCAAATGCAGGAAGCAAGGAATGAGATTGGGCTACTTGAGGGCCAGATCGGGAAAGTTCCTCATGAGTTATTGTGCTCGGTATCTCGTGAATTGTTTGATTTTGTGAATAAGCTTAGGAATGTGAGAGAATATGGATCAAAGTCAGTTGGATTGCTCTCAGATAAGCCGATCTCGGATGATCTCTTGGTTGGGCAAAATGATTTGGCGGATTGGGGCGCTCATCATCATCATCATCGCATTTATGAGGATGGTAAGGATGCAGAGCTCATCGAGGAAGATGAAGACAGCTTCGGGAGGACACTTGGGGAGGTTGCATCTTGGGATCAGATAAGGTCAGGTTGTAGGAACGAGAAGGATCTACTGGGTGAGTCTTGTAAATCAGAGAAACCATTGGAATGCAATGAGTTTGATCAGAAGCGCATTCTTGAGTGTGGGAATTCTAAACTGACCAAGCCCTTAAGGCATGATGAGAGTATAGATACAGATGTAGGTTTCGTTGTAGAGAACTTCTACCCAGAGAACCCTAAATGGTTTGATTCGCCCTGTGAACTGGACTCCGGCACAGATTGTGGTGACAGCGGATTCAAGCCTGGGGAGATTGTTTAGAGATCTTACAGCTGGTGACCCACTCTAACTTAATTCTGAGTCTTCTGTTCCATTTTTCATACTATAATGTTAGAAGTGGGTTGTATATTTGTGTAAACAAAAGGTTGAAACATCTGGCAACCTCTTTGTTGTCTTTGCTGTTGTAATTCTGTAAAGTACAGCCTATGGGCTTCTTTGCACATACATTAGATAGTGATTTGACTTGTCATAAATTTTCAAAACTTCAACTTCGTTTTTCATATCTGAGTTAGTCGTCACCTTTATTATCTTGCATTTATAGTATATACTGCTGCTCTATTGATTTTATTGCTGAGATGCATATAGCAGATAATTACTGAATTGTGCTGCTTTTTTGTCATTGTAATTATTGCAAAACTATTTCTATATGCAGTCTATTATAGAAAAACTGGAGTTCTATAAAAACATACTACTAAACCATTGTGCATATATCTGTAGCGTTGCAGAATGGTGTTAAACAAATTTTGGAAAGTTCCGAAAGGGAAAGAGTGTCACTTAAATCCGAAAAGAGTAATATCTAACTAATACTGTAGATAACAGGAGACTTGTTCCACAATAACATTTGGCTTCAAGAAGCATTACCTTCTTTGTTCATTCTTCGTATAACTCATTGAACCGAAAGTCACATTTGGCCTTCGATTGTGCTAAAACCGAAAGTAGACTACTTATTCCTTAACTGACATACTTATCTTTAAAACACGGTATACAACTTTTGATTTCTTTGCAAACTATTGATGGTTAAGTAAAGAATAAGGACGGTTATAATTTGAATTTCCAAATAACAAGCAAGATTGGGTAAATCTGTCTCTGTTAGCTGTATTAATTTGGGATTGAAATGGTCTCTTTGGAAAAATCTTCTCGTGTGTATTAAAGAATGCACTCACAAGCGTTATAAATATTTATGTGTTTCCATAAGCAATTGGTAGGTAGCATTTGAAGAAAAAGCGCAGAAGACATAAGTTGGAGTTGCCTCAAAGATCTGTGCTTCAAACCTAGAGAATCATAATGGAACATCCTGTGCCGTCCCATAGTAAAATCAGTTGTGGCTGATACCTTCTTATCTTTTCCTCCTTCCACAACTAGAGCTCGGACATTGACAAAATTGTTTTGAGAATGTGGCAAAAAGTTCTAGTTTTTATTTACTTGTTTTTTTCCTTTTTGATGAAGGTGGCAAAAGCTTCTAGTTGGAGGTGGCAATTTGGAACTCTAACTATTGTCGATATGGTATTACCTTAGTGTTGATGTACGAATAATGGCTTATTTCTATGGCTTCTGAGTGAGATTGGACGGAGATACATGAAATGATTCTATGGTTTGAAAATTATCATGTAGATAGATATCCTTAGTAACTCAACAAGCTAATCAACTTATCTTGATGTAGGAAAAGAATAAAGAAGACAAGGAAATCAATCTAGCTTATTCAGGTTTGTTTTGGTCAATGTCTAGTTTGACCTGTTGGCTCTAAAATCTAAGTCCTATTTCAGAAACAAGGAAAATTTGGAGAAAATAAGACTGTTTTAATGTTCATTTGGTTCATATGGTTGCGTATCCTGATCCCATATATCTTACTTATGTGTTATGACACAATAATAACAGGTATGTGCAACCTCGTTGATATTTTGAGAATCAATAAATGAGTCCAATTTAAGTAAGAACTCTTTTTTGAAAGATAAGTCTCAATCTAAGTGCAGAGTATTTAGAATTTTGTCTGCTAATTTGAATTCAATTGTTATCAATGAAGAGACCTGCTTTGACTGTGTGTACTAAAATCACCAGGATTTTTCTCGGAAAGTTTTGGCAAAATTAAATGTTGGTAATCTTTAAATTTTACGCACATTTTTGGAATTTCTATTAAGTCATTAATAATACTAATGACCAAATCTATGAATTGTATCAATCTGTGAATATTTGATTTGTCAAACAACTATAATGAGTTGTGATGGTGTCATTGAGATTCTTGTTCCACTGGGGCTAGAGAGAATTTTGTTGGTTGCTTGTAATAAAAATCCTTTCCAGTCATCTCTTGAGTTAGTTCAGATTTGCTGTTGTTGAAAATGGAAACAACAGATCTACCTATTAAAATTGTATTTGCTTAAGAAAAACACAATTCAATGTGTTCATACTATTGAGCATAAGTTGCTACGTTTAGCTTTGAGTTCTGAAAGCAGTCATGAGGAGAGAACCTCTTAAGCTAGCAGCAAACGTTGGAAAAGGTGTGAAGGTTTATTATTGAAGAACTAGTTCATGACGATTATCTTGATATGGACATGTAATTGAGGAATAGAAATCTCACAGGAACTTGTCATTGTCCATTATTTTCAGTTCAACTATAAATGTTGTCCTCACATATATATGTAATGGTTTCTTATTTCCTTTTACTTGTCTGTAGTATCTGAGAATGAAAATAATGGGCAAAAGGCAATTGAAGTTCATTTAAGATTCCTTAGGATGTGTTTTGACAGCTCCCTTGCGTACAAACAGCTTATGGAAGTTTATCTCTCATTACATTGCTTTCCTTTTTCTTTTCTATTTGAATTGTCAGAATAACTACTGTTTGGTCATAGAAGAATGCATTTGTATGTCTAAAGAAAGCTGATGTCTGCTCGTGCTGCTTTAGGGATAAAATTCACTTCTTGATTGTTATTTTCCCTTTAGCAGACCTTGTTACCTGTGAGGTGTTTCCCCACTTATCAGTAATTTTATTAATCCTGCTCCACATAACAACATATGACATACCTAATGAAGGCTAAAGTTAAGATGCGCATACATGTCCTCTTGGCATAAACATAAGGAAAGGCTTATTAACCATTAACCTATTGGAGCTTCTTTGGATCACAATGCCCTTCATCAACAAGTATTTGTATCTTCTGTAAGTCTTAAAAGTACTTGTGATGTGGTTGACAAGTTTAACTGTTAACTCATGAAACTAGAACCAAAATAAATCTTTCTCCCTGCTTTCTCAAAAAAAATGTTTCTCTTTTTTTTTTCTTTCGAGTTATGGCTCGTCCTGTTTATTAGGTTTTCCATGTGTCTAAAAATCTAATTTACCTTTTAAAAAGAATTCATGTGTCTAGTTGGGTAGGTTTTGTTAACCTAAGCCTAGAATAAATAGCCCATTATGGATCTTGGAAATTGGACAAACTAGTTTTTCTGGTTCTGGGTTATTTTGAGGAAAGTATAAGATGTTCAATGAGTCTCATATGGAAGCCGGCACAAACGGACTGCAAGAACATCGATTGCACAATGTTGGCAGACTGCTATTTTGAAGAATACAAGCTTTTGACATGTTGCTTGGGTGGCGTGAAGCTTTTGGTGAGTAAATTTTAAGTTTCATTATGTTAATTATATGCAGATAATGCTCTTTATGTTTTCATTTAACATACTGCTGCTTGTTCCTCTTTTACATTTGCTTTTATTTGCTTCCTTTGTTTTTTTGGGGGTGAGAATTTACACAATGGAGAATGATCTTTGTAACTCGATCGATGTTTCTTATGCTGTTGTTTGCGGATGTTCATTAGTGAAGTGCAGAGGATGGTTTTCTTTTCCCAAAGAACGAAAACAATGCTTTCATTGTCTTCTGGATTTTGGGTGCATAGTACCTTATCCTTTTTTGTCTTCTTCTGCATTAGAAAGAAGGCAGATTCTGCAGAAAATAATTCCAGTTTATTTGTTGAGTGAACTGCTTGGCTTTCCTTTGTAAGTGTTCTGCTGTGATTCTTCAAATCCATTTGTTAAGTTTCTGCATTTTGCTCTCTCATTTCATTTTGAAAGAAAGTTTGCAGGTCAAGTGGAGAAGATTTTATAGCCCTATGCTTTCTCTTGTATAAAATTTTACTCTTGGGACTGGCAAAATCAGAAGCGTGGGATTGATTCTTTAAATGTCTTTGGGATGAAAAATTCCCCTTTGACCAATCCTTCTGATTATGTGACTTGGTCCAGTTCTCCCCTCGAAAGCCAGAAAGGCACCATTCTTATTGAATCTTTAAACCCCCAAAGTACCTCAACTATTTTGTGAGATTTAAATTTCAGTTATGTCAGCATGCGTGTATGAAAAATTAAAATGTAATTGCAGTTGGATGCTTCTTTTTTTCTCTTTTATGTGTTAATATGGGATGTGAATTGTAAAATCCAAGCTTTACGAGGAATTGGTTATGTTGTGTCAAAAACAAGTAAGCTATAGGAACTTGTCAACACGCTAATCTCTGTTTTTTATGTGATGTTTTTAAATTCACTATTCTCATGTTTGGTCTGGCTAACTCAAAACTCAGTTTGATGTGGCATTTGGACTGCCATCTTTCTAACCCCAAAAGTTTTGTATGCTTTTCATGGAAATAAAATTTCATTGGTAGATTTACCTCTAGTTATTACAACTTGTGTGTCCGAGCTTGCATCTTTTGAACCTGTGAAATGTTTTGCCTGCAATCTGGGCCCCGGCCGTGAAAGTCATGTGTTCCCCCACCCCCTTTCCCCCGCCGGCCCCCCCTCCTTTTTTCTTTTGCCCCTCTGGTTCCTCAGATTGGTGGCACCTTAGGTTATATTGAGGTACTAACAACCCAGTCAATTGATCCATGTGAAGAAGTGTAGTGGAATTCCAACTAATTGTCGAAGCCATCTCAACTTTATTCCACTTTAGCTCAGTCAAAGGTCACATGGTCTTCAATGTTCGTGACGAGAGCATCAATATTGAGTGCCTCCTTACTCAACTTGGGACCTTGAGGAGATGGGAATGAGCAAGTTCTCTTCCTATGCATAATTTCTGTTGCAGTTTACCGAAGTTTCACTATTCTGTGGTTCTCCGGTTTACATGTGTACAGGTCCTGGTATGGCAGTTTTAGAAGACTCTTTGATGGAGGAAAAGCAGAAGCGGTCGACATTGGCGAGCCATTTTGAGAAGACTGTCTAACAGTAGCTGTTGGATTGAAGTGTCAAAAGTTGATTATTATGAGGTCATTCTGTTACAAATGATGTCAGTTGAAACCACCTGGATAGCGTAGAGTTGGTAGTTCAATTAATATATAAACATGAGTGCTCAAGGGGTGAGTAAAATCTGGGTTTGCAACCTATATTGTTGCTTGAGTTTTTGAATATGTAATTGCAGTCATATTTCTTTTGGACTGCTGTCACAAAGCTTCGTTAAGTATGGTGCGAGTCATGATTGGTTATAGTTATTTTGCTATGGTACAAAGCACAAACGTTTACTTCTGCTGCGCTAACTAGAACGTTTTTGGTATCTGGTGTAGTTGCAATT